CTCTCGGTCTCCCGCCGCCTCTACTTCTACTTTCACGATGTACTCCAGTTTTCTCCTTCTCATCACATGACCAAAGAATGTACGTTGTCTCTTTATGCTGTTGGCAATCGGTTCAAGATGTCATCATTACTCTTTTTATCTGTCCAGTGTATTCTCATTATCCGTCTACACAACTTAATTCCTACAGCTTCCAAATCAGTTTTCACTAATTTACCAACTGTCCATGATTCACTATGACTAACAGTCAATAAAATGTCCTCGCCGGTCCTACAATGTAGTTTCCTTCGGATTCCCCTAACCTCAGCCGGGAGCACCTACCTAGACGTTTGTGTCTGTCTTCTCCGGTTAGTGTCTTAACATTTGGACAGTCACTTTTGTCTATTTCATTCTTCAATGTTCTTTATCAGTCAGTTTTTTCTCTTCTCCGTTCAATATCACCATTTGGTTTGAAATGAATTGTCAGTATTCCACAGTTGTGTGTTAGGCCAACGGTACCACCTTAGCCGGAAGCAACTATGCATTGACCCGGTTCCAAAAGGGGACGCAATTTTTCGTTATTTAAAGCTTCACCCCGGCTGTAGTTGGGAGCTCTAATATAACCTAACAGTTGAACCGGATATATTGTGCCCCAGTGATCATCCGAATAGGGGCACTTTGTGTCACAGGGTGTTGGTTGTACGGTCCTGGTGGGGTTGAATCAGATACATACATAGACGTGTGTGTGTCTTGTTCCTTAAAGTCTTCTCTAGCTAGTACCTCAACATCTTAATAACATCCCTAGCCAAATCTAAATGAATGCCTACGCATACAGACATTTAACACATCCCTAGTCAAATATAAATGAATGCCTAGGCATACAAACATTTAACACGTCTCTAAAATTAACCAAACAATAACCACAAATAATGTTTATATTTTTATTTTCAACAATAAAATTCTGGAACAAATTTGGATTGTAATGGGCTATTGTCAACAATAGCAGGAATCAATCAATATTATAAAGCACTCAATGACACAGCACAAACACAACAAATTACTTCTTGATAGCACGACAGATGAGACCAGGAACCTACTGAATATAATGTTTAACTAAATATGTTGTTTGCACATCAGCAAATATGGGTTTGGAACTGAAATGCTATAGAAAGTTTCAGGATAGTTGACTCGTAAATAGCTTCCTGTCTGAGAAACTGAAATAATTTGGAAAAAAAAATCAAGTGCCACGGCAAATTGGCAAGAACAACAGTGGAGGGCGTAGTGCTTCGTAAGAGGGGCCGAGGCCGCCCTGCACAAAGATGAGCACAGGAGATCAGAGGCACCTTGGGCAGAAAGAGTGCATGCAGCAGGAAAACTGGTGAAGGAATGAGTTTCTTTCAGCAGGCTGTGACAGGAGAGCCATTTTGTAAAGAGCTTGCTATCAGGAAAAAGCTTTTGATAGTGAAGCCAGACACACACATTATAGACTCTTCTTGAGGATCACAGGACATGGGGGCAACTGCATTGTTATCATGGCTGTGTACAACGCTAGCCCCAGCTTGTTTACAACACTGTATGAAACAATTTAGATCATAATGAGCTAATGTCAACAATAGCAGGGACTAATGTATAATTTTGGACACTGCACAAATACAACACGTCACCTTACACTAGCATGACAAGACTAAAAACTTTGAGCTAAAATTAATAGTTGTCATACTTTAAGCAACTGTTATCATTACATCATGTGATCTGTTATTTTCCAGTATTTTAACTATCATTGTTTATTTTCCAGCATATTAATTAAAATTCCATGGTTTTGCATCACTTGGTGGTGAACTAATGTATGACAAGCTAGACATTGTGAGGGCCCTCTGGGAGTGAGTGAACAGTGCGGAAGCGCAAACAGATCATTACGGTGTGAGGAGAATGGCGCTACGCCTGTGTGGGAATGTTTGGGGTGCAATGAAGTTAATGTCCAATTCTCCATTCATTCTTTACAGACAAACAGTATCTACAATATGCTCTGATAAACAAGGCCAAACAAATTTGAAATACCCCACCCAGGTAAATCATCTACAACCACCTGTTTGATGTCAACAAAATACTTTAATGGCACAACAAGCAAGCATCACAGGATTGACCTGGGCAACAATGTCAGTTCAACAAATCCAACAGTGATTTCAATTCAATTTTGAACTAATATCAACTATATTCTGACCAAGTTACGCATGCATTTAAAGCAAAAATACACAAGAGAACACTCAGTTGGCAGTCAAAAAAGAACACGCAGTTGGCAGTCACAAGAGAACGCCCAGTGGCAGTCACAAGAGAACGCCCAGTGGCAGTCACAAGAGAACAACCAGTGTCAGTCACAAGAGAACGCCCAGTGTCAGTCACAAGAGAACACCCAGTGGCAGTCACAAAAGAACACCCAGTGGCAGTCACAAGAGAACACCCAGTGGCAGTCACAAGAGAACACCCAGTGGCAGTCACAAGAGAACATCCAGTGGCAGCCACAAGAGAACATCCAGTGGCAGTCACAAGAAAACACCCAGTGGCAGTCACAAGAAAACACCCAGTGGCAGTCACAAGAGAACACTAAGTGGCAGTCACAAGAGAACACCCAGTGGCAGTCACAAGAAAACACCCAGTGGCAGTCACAAGAGAACACCCAGTGGCAGTCACAAGAGAACACCCAGTGGCAGTCACAAGAGAACAACCAGTGGCAGTCACAAGAGAACACCCAGTGGCAGTCACAAGAGAACACCCAGTGGCAGTCACAAGAGAACACTAAGTGGCAGTCACAAGAGAACACTCAGTGGCAGTCACAAGAAAACACCCAGTGGCAGTCACAAGAGAACACCCAGTGGCAGTCACAAGAGAACACCCAGTGGCAGTCACAAGAGAACACCCAGTGGCAGTCACAAGAGAACACTAAGTGGCAGTCACAAGAGAACACCCAGTGGCAGTCACAAGAAAACACTCAGTGGCAGTCACTAACCTTTTAAAATATGACTGGCAGAAAATAAACTGAAATGTAGCAACCTCATAGTTTCAATGCTATTCATCCTAACCACATCCGATCATCAGTGATATTGCTTCTGGCAACCACACATTAGCCAGGATATTGCATCGAGCTATCTCACATTATGAATGATAGTTCTAGCAAGGAAACATGAGCAAATAATATGAAACCCAGCAACAGGACATTATCAATGATAACCTAGCAAACCTATATTATCAACATTGTTCTAGCAACTGTCAGGTACCACAGTTTGCTATCTCACACGATCATCAGAATCCCAGATAAGAGTCTGTGTTCTTGTTATGTTTATGCTACATGGTAAAACCATGCAGGAACTTATTGTTTTCAAGCCTACCAGTTTTCACTAGTTTTTCAAGTTTAATTTCTCAAATAAAGAGGTTCTGAAAGGGGAAACAGAGGCTGCAACATCAGGTTGCAACTGGTACTATTTTAAGTCAACACTTCAATGGTTACTGAATATCCGTATTCCATAGTTGTGGATTTCAAGCTGTACGATAGACATGGCCAATAAGACACCTTTTTTTGGGGGTGCCTAGTTGACCATGTTCTTAGTGCACTTGTATTCATGGCGAGGCGCAGACACCACCTGGAGGTGACAGGTTCAATTCCTGGCACAGTAACTATAGCTTTCAATTTGGTTACTGAAGAAAGGGCCTTCTCGGTGCTGTGATGTCAATTCTTGATTCATTCATTCTTATAAACATCTTTTCCCACAGGTTTCCTACGCTGAAAGTCTACTACAGTTTCTGGAACACTACCATCTCCTAGAATACCCTATAAAGTCATAGAAGATAACTTTTGGGTCTGGTAAAATATACTGGCCGACTGGACATGTTACGTACACAATATTTGATAAAAAACCAACATATTGAAATAATATATGATTTCTCCCCGTGTGGGTTCCGGGGTCCTATTGTAGGGAAAACAAAAATAGACCCACTGCCGACCCAAAAGCATGTCGTAAAAGTTGTCTAATTGGGAGCTTCCTTCGAAGTCAGAGTGCATCTGCCTGAGAGGCAAGGAACCAGCAGTCTGCATACAAATGAGTCAGATCTGTTAAATGGATGCACACGCAACACTCAGGTTCTGGAAGAGGACTGCAGCCCAAAAGTGGATGAACAACCAGAACTTTCCTCCATAGTTTACAGCTGGTAAACACAAACAAGAACATAGATGATTTCTTAATGTGTCCACTTTACTAAACAATCACTGATAGTTTATAAAACATTATAAATATACCTGTAAGCATAAATAAAATACACGTTTGTAATTTATTAATATTCAAAAACACCAGTTCGCTATGTGGATTCCAGGGTCACATGGGGGGGGGGGGGGGGGGGGGGGGGGGGAAGGGAGAGAGAGAATAAGAAAAGAACCAACCAACAGCCCCCTAACAAATATGCAGGAAAAGGTGATTAATTAGGGACTTTTCCTCCAAAGTCAGAGCTCATATAACTGAAGGCTGAAGCAGTCTGCATTCAAATCAACCAGATCTGTAAAAAAAATAAGCAGAACTTGTCAGCTAAGAAGAGGATGAACAACCAGAACCTAATGGCCTGTGAACGATGAGAAACGGAAGGAGATATTCATGAAATAAATCCACAAACTTAAGAATGTGAGGAAAACTGCTATTGACCACGTCAACCCAACACCCAAAAAAAAAAAGTTTAAGCAAACAGACATCTTGATCAAGAATAAATATTTTCTAAAAAAAAAAAATTTAGGTCAATATGAGAAATCTATCTCTCAAAACTTGTGGGTGCAGGTTGTATGTCTAGTAAAATATAGACAAAATGAACAGCACACCGCTGAGTGCCTCAAAGAGAATGCATAGTACAGCCTACTGAGATCATAATGAGGTCGAGTGTGCCTGGAACAACAACAGACGGAAACACTTTGTAAACAGATACAATTAACAACAAACACATCCATGTGGTGCATTCCTCCAAGCAGATCTAGTGTCTGAGAATCATCATCAATCACAAGAACCATCTGCCCAACCATCTCTCCACCGCTCCAGAACCTGCAGACAAAGACGGGTTTATATTAGAGCTCATGGCTTAGCACCTCGTTTTCAGCTCACAAACAGAATCAGTTGTACCCACGTTTGCGGGCTGTACATACTGTGTGTCACCGCGCTGTTACCTCCTTTACTTGTTTAAAAAAAAAAAAAAAACACCCACGCACAACAAGAGATTGTGACAGTCATCCTGATAATGGCCTGGTGTGGGACGCTCATTGGCAGGACTGTTTGGGGGCGGTGTGACCAATGGCTGCCTCGGTGCTCGCACAGATGATCAGTGATATGGCCAGCGGACAGGACAACCAGCTAAATACAGGACCCAGGACCCTTAAAACCTGTATTGAACACAGGCAGCAAAGGAACAAACTCAGGTGTAACTGCACACCACAGAGGAACAGAAATAAAATAAGATAGCAAAGGAACCGTCCTTGATAAAGCAGGCATTCAGGCGGCTAAAAAAGGGCTATGCTTGAAATATTTGTTTGATTTTATACGATACAATACGATCTGTACTATCTTTAAAAAAACAAAGATGCGCTACAGACGGTTGATGTGGCTAAAGGATTGACTGTGTTAACGAAGCAATGGTCTCAAATGTTAAAAGAAGTAGACAAATTATCATCAGTGTGAATGCTCAGTCGTGAAATATGGATCTGTTATGAGAAAATCTACGAGTTGTGCACAGTACTGTTTTCTTCAATAATAAATACATAATAATTTTAAAAATATTATTCTACACTTTGTTGAGAACAATGTTACTCATGTAAGCAAATCTTTAGATTAAAATTAACTGATGTAAACCATTTGATATATCGTATTTTCCCAAGACACACTTATTTTTTCATAAATGTACGGTCTACAAAAACCAGTGCGCCATATACAATGGCAGTAGATTTTATGTAATCATACTTTTTCCATACAAATGTCAGGTCCCAACATTAAAGTGCGTCGGTTACAAGGGAACGTCTTGGGAAAAAAAGTACTTAAGGTTAGGAATAAGAATGATGGTATTGCATGTTTCGCTCAAGTCCCGGTAAGTAAAGGCAGTCGGCGCGATGCTGACCCCATCACCCATCTTGTGCCGACTGGTCTATAAAATATAGGTCTAGCCCTATATGCCTAAAGGCGTGGAAAAGGGTAATTTACTTACTTTTTTTTGTTTTTAAATAATGTGTTACACCAAGATAGGCCGCGGAATTTGCGATTTGTTGCCGCAGTAAATCCTAGCACCCAGTAATCACCACATATGGTTTATAATCGTGATAAACTACTCACCCTGGTTTGTCCACGGCCCTCCTAGATTTGGCTAGTATGCAGTGGAGCAAGTCAGAGATATACTACTATTTTTTCAACCTAGGCAAAGATTATTGTCCCTTTCCTACGATAATCCCTCAAGACGACGGAGAGAAGCATCTTGTTGCTTTGCCCCTCCCTGGCATCTTGACTGCCTAGTCCAGCTGGTGAAGTAGGCCAAACAATCCTTGGTCGTGAGAGAACCTATCTGGTATTCTCCCTTTCTCACATCATTTTCTGCCCCAAGTTAATATCTTTCCTAAAGCAGCTGTTTTTAAAACAGAATTATCATGAGTCGTTTTCCTGTAAATCTAGCCTTGTCAGCTCCAGCTCCACACTTCCAGAACTGCCCGCTGGACAAAAAGCATCTATAAAGAAAGGTGGGCAGTGGATTAGTCCCCCACCAGGTGCTCAAGTATACAGGCATGATTTAGGAGATACCTGTAGCTTTAATGCGGTGAAAGGTTGAGCTTCTATGCTTGCTTTCATCACTGCCTTAACTCTTTCATGCCCACCTGATTCTATTAACCCTGTATCTATTTTTTTTAATGAATATGAACTGCCATACAAACATACATGTGTATAACCAACTAATGCCAAAACATGCTTCTGCTCACTAGCGTGTCAGCTAAGCAGACCAACAATAAATGTTTTTAAAAAAATAAAAAAAGTAAAGATCCCTTTTCACGCCTTAGACACATCGGGCATATGGAAAAGGCACCCCAAATTTTTACAGACCAATCGGCACTAGTTGGGTAATTTGGTCAGCATTACACCGGCTGTGTCTACTTTCAAGACATCCATCCTGGTACCCATTTTAGGCTGCGTCAAACTGCGACGCCCCATACCATGATAAAAATCCACGCAGCCAGCAGTGGATTTTGATCGGGGTATGTTGGAATTACGAGTCGGACTCGCAACGCCTAAGCCACCAAATGTCGCAGACCAATAATACTTCAGCTACAATAAGCATCAAGACACAAACTAGGAAAAAATAATTATTCTCCTTGAAAAATAAGTTTTAATTCACTGGTTGTATAAAATATGGGACATATAAAAATAAAAAACCACACACACACAAATAATCTGAATACTTTTTATCATATTGCACTGTCACCCACAAAGTGTCAGCCTGGCATCTTTTAGGGAAATAGTATAAAAACTGAATGCAACAACTGTACCAGATGAACAAACAAAAGCGAACTTAATAAAAGCTTATAATAAGACCCAACATAAACTACCTTAGAGCAGTCAAACTCAGTTTTCCCCAGCCTTGTGTTGACACCGTTGTGGAGGTTACAAAACCACTGAGATAACTTCACGTTGCTGCTGACATCTGGTATGTTGGTCTTCAAGCTGTGTGTGGGAAAAAAAATAGGAAATGTTATCTGTAATCCTCTATGTTCCCAGTAATTGTTGCTTAAATTATGTGTATTAAATGAGTTCAAATAGTAACTGCTGCAGAAGCTAAGAATCTATCTTTATCCCAGGTGGGGTTCAAGTGCCCTATCACAGGGAATACAAGAATAGACCCACTGCCTACCAAAAAGCATGTTGTAAGAGTCTACTAATTGAGAGCTTCCTTCAAAGTCAGAGTGCATCTGCCTGAGAAGCAAGGAACCAACAGTCTGCACACAAATGAGTCAGATCTGTAAATTGGATGTACACGCAATATTCAGGTTCTGGAACAAGACTGCAGCCCAGAAGTGGCCAAACAACCAGTACTTTCTGCCAGAGTTTACAGCTGGTGAATGCAAAGAAGAATCTACATTTATCGGGTTAGCCCGTCCAAGAATCCATGTCACCAAACTGCCCTCTGTTCTCATCTTCACTGCATTAATTAATCAGTTCAAGAGCTAAAGTCATCTGCTCATGTTCCCCAGCTGTTCTTTATCCTCATGATCCCTGGATGTCTGATTATACCTCAATAAAGTAAATGGGCATTTGAATACTGTGGATAAGTAGGTTGCCTATAAAAGACTTGGAGTATTACTGACACATTTTCCCCATATGTAGGCAAATATTAAATGGTTTCATTGCCCAGAGACTAACCTGAGCGTATAGTGAACCATGTGACTTGATTTCATGTGGGGTTCTTTCAACGGTATCCAAGGTAGTTTGTGTTGTGAAATGCATTTCAGAAAATGGTGGGTAGCCTGCTGCTAGAGAACCGGCAGTGCCAGTAATTAATGATTAACTGCAATTTTAGTGGTGGAATGTTGGTAAAGGCACCTCTGGGAGTTGGCTAGCCCATTTGATGTGTGAATATGCTGCTGGCTTTGCCAGGATTGTTGTCTGTTCAACTTTTCACACAGGACAGTGATAAGCATTCCATGCAGTTTCTGATGGGACAAGAATGGAGCAGGTTATGGAGTAACTTTTTTCTGGTGACATTTGAACTGTGACTGACCAATTAACTAAGAGTTTAATGTTTATGTAGTTAATTGTCTGAGCTGCACTGAGGGATGATCTATCAACTAACTAACGAAGGCCCTTTGGAAGCGAATGAAAAGTGCAGAGGCACAGACAGATCAGTGCGAAGAGTTACCAGGGGATCTGGCCGATGCTCAACATTCAAAGAAAAGGTGAGACTGATATATAATTGTACAGTTACTGGTGCCATCGGAATTAGAACCCTTCACTTGCTGCTGAAGATGGGAATGGAGCGCTTATGGGAGTGTCCTGAGTGCTGTGATATGCTGTGAAATATATAGTTTCTCACTTCTGAAGATGGAAATATAATAGGGATTCAGTTACTAGTGCCATCAGAATCTTGTTTTTTTTTTAGACTAAAAAACTTCACTTGGTACTTACTCTTGGTGGAGATGGATTGCATAAGGATAGAACGCTTAGTGTGATGATCAGTAGTGTCCTGAGATTGCCGTGGAGGGGTAGATTTTTAATTCAACTAGCTAAGGGGATGCGCATTTGTGGCAGGGGTGGAAATTTATTATCTGAGGATCAGTTTACTTTCACGGAGAATGCACTGTGGCAAAATAGAATATACAGAAGTGCGATGGGTACTTACTCTTGGGATGATTTGTGCAGGGGAGATGGATTGATGATCAGTACTTACTCTTGATGGAGATGGATTGCACATTTGTGTCAGGGGTAAAAATGTGACAGAAGTGTGAGGATCAGTACTTACTCTTCACGGAGATGGGATGCACATTTGTGGCAGGGGTAGAAATGTGACAGAAGTGTGATGATCAGTACTTACTCTTCACGGAGATGGGATGCACATTTGTGGCAGGGGTAGAAATGTGACAGAAGTGTGATGAATTTTTTCATGTTGCCCTGCTGCTCTGCTGATGGCTTCTCTGGGTAGTAGGCTGCCATCGTGTGCAGAAATGCCCATGTGTTGCGGCCAAGCAGTTCTGAATCTAGAGGACACTCTTTCTCTTCTCGCTCCTCCTTGGTCATACTCTAGAGACATAAAGTATAATTTATATATATGTGTGCTTGTGTGTGTGTTTAATATTAAGAAATTGATGGTAATACTGTGTTGTTACAACTGAAAGGTGACATATTTTAAACATAGACTAGGTCAACAAATAATACAAAATAGGATGACTAGCTCTCTTCCTTACCATCTTCTCAGATATCTGCTTCTTCTTCACATTCTCTTTTAACGATTAAGGGGTTACATGGTCTCGAGTGCTAGAGGTTCCGGATGCAATCCCTGATTTGGGCTTGGATTTTTTCATGTGGACTTGGACTTCTAGTAATTACCCCCAGTCTCTGGGTAGTGAGATCAGGCACCCGTGTGCATTATTGCGCACGTTAAAAAAATCCCTTGGCAGTTGGAAAAGGGAGAGTAGGCTAGCGGCGCTGCCCTAGGCACAATTTTGAGATAAACTCATAACAAGGCATGTCTCCCCCAACACCTGAATCGGTAAATGAGGTTTGAACAACTGATCAACATCATGGTAAATGGTGGGTAACCCATAAGTGCTCTGTTCTTAGGATCCTGGAAAGGGGGGGGGGGGGTGTGCTACAGAGCCTGTGCTGAGATTCTTAGCACTCAGACTTGAGTTAGAAGAAGAACAGAGCACTTATGGGTTACTCACCGTGTGCCATGATGTTAATCTGTTGTTCAAACCTCATTTACCGATTCAGGTGTTGAGGGAGACATAAGGTTTTCTTCTTGCTCTTTTGGCCGACTCAACCACAGACATATCGTGCTGTTGTAGAGTCTCTCTGATGTTATCTTTTTCTTGGTCTGCACTGTGCTCTACGCCCTTCTCTTTCGCTGCATGCCTTGTATGGTAGTGTCACAAACAATTCTCTCTCAGCGGGCAAACCATTTGATTTGCTTTCTTTGTATGTAATTTAGAACTGGTTCTGTGCCAACCTGTTCTTACACGACCTCATTCCTTATTTTCTCTTCTGGTGAGCACCCTTGCAACCCTTCTCAGAAATCTCATTTCCCTTGTAACTTAATTTTCTGTTCTGGTTTGTTGTGAGTTAGTCATTTGTTTTATAGATACATGATGAGAATACCCTGGACACAAAAAGAGTAATGAGGATGTCTTGAAAGAAAGTGACTCATGAAGAGAAGTGCTTGCCAACATCAGAAAGAGAGAATATACATTCTTTGGTCATGCGATGAGAAGAAAAAAAAACTGGAGTAAATCATGACGGTAAGAAAGTTTGAGGGGAGGAGAGGCAGAGGGAGACCGAGAGACAAGATGCTGGACAGTCAGACATCATGGCATGGAGGATCATCTGTGTCAGAGTTGACTGAAAGTACACAAGACAAAAGGTTGTGAACTGACATGACTACCAACGCCACACGGCATGGACTATGGAAGATCATCTGTGTCAGAGTTGACTGAAAGTACACAAGACAGAAGGTTGTAGACAGACATGACTACCAACATCACACGGCATGGTCTCTAAGAAGAAGTGAGTGACAAGGTCTGGCACTGGTAGCATACAGTGGGACTGAACATGCTCCATACACAATCTTCTTTGTGCTAATCACGATTGTCTTCTGCTGTAAGGGCTGAGTGTTGAGCTGAGTCAAGCAGTGACATCACAGCGCTCAGGACATTTCCATATGCGCTCTGTAACCATCTTCAGCAGCCAGCACAGACTACCGGTCGTTGTCTGGTTATATGATGCATCTAGCATATCCTCTGAGTGTAGTGAGCCAGCAAGACCCTCGAGTCACACCCAGGTACTTCATTCTCTTCAGGCCATAATAATCCACTTTCTCTTCTAACTTCGTTATTAGTTCCCAAAGGGCCCTGACACATCTACCTTGTCATGTATCAATTCATCATCCACTGATACAGATTCAGCCAATCTGACTGATTGTTTCATTCTCCACCACGCTGGCAAAGTATGCTCATTGCTTGTGACCTTTCAAGTGAAGCTTGCCAGTCTGCTTGAAGCAACCATGTCTTCAAAAAGTTGTCTTCTAAGAGACATGCCAACAGTCCAAATACTTATTTTGCTCTGCAGCATCTGATGTTAATTTCTTTATCCAATTTCGCGCAGCATCTGATGTTAATTTCTTCATCCAATTTCCCGCAGCATCTGATGTTAATTTCTTCATCCAATTTCCCGCAGCATCTGATGTTAAATTCTTCATCCAATTTCCCGCAGCATCTGATGTTAATTTCTTCATCCAATTTTGATGTTAAATTCTTCATCCAATTTCCCGCAGCATCTGATGTTAATTTCTTCATCCAATTTCCCGCAGCATCTGATGTTAATTTCTTCATCCAATTTCCCGCAGCATCTGATGTTAATTTCTTCATCCAATTTCCCATGTTCTGTGAAGCTATTCCCAGAAATTTAAGCTCGGATGCCTGTTTAATGCCTTTGCACATCTTCTGTCGTCTTACTATTACCAGGTTGTAGCCCAGTATCGCGGTTTTCAGTATGTCTTCCCCTTCTCAGGTGGCTTGGGTGATGGATTTGTTGAACTTTTTGCAGGTTTCATCTACACCATTTATCCACCACTTTCTTGGTCTTCCCCTCGCCTTCCTTCTTTCCAGATGTTCTGCTGTAAAAAGTCTCTGCGCTTGTGCACATTACTGCCATATTTAGGTTCTGCTTATTTCACCCTATTAACATTACTTCTGTTGTCAGTGCTGTTTCTCATATTGACTTGTTTTATATTCTGTAGTCATAGATGTCAGAAGGTACTGTATCTGCTATCAAGGCCTGGTCATCAGTAAAGAGTAATTCAATAATGCTACTGATATTTTTGTTCCTGGGCTTCACACCTGTGCATATAATGTCGATGTAGGTGATAAACATCAGTAGTAATATGATACATTCAGTTTTTCTCCAGATGTTACTGTGAATGGTTTATGTGTTCTCTGATTTATTATAACTATGTTTCTATAATCAATAATTTGCTTCATCATCATCATCATAAACCACTTCTGCCGTTAAGCATAGTGGGGAGGAATAATTTGCTTAACTTCTTAAAACTATACAGTGTTCAGGTTACTGGTTGGAAACAAGAGTCCTACCTTCACCGGGCAGTGTTCCCCTGAGATCTGGAGGCCAATGAAAGGGGGCCCGGGGTGTGACAACACCCACTGCCCCTAATAAGGTCATAAAAGATGACGACCAGCTTAGGAATATGTAGAAATGGGATGTTTGCCCAAAAGATGTGGATATCACAGCCTAGCTGTAAACCACAAGATAACCTGCCAGCGCCATTTTAAAGACGAATAAAAAAAGATTAGGAACTAAACCTGGGCAAATGTTGGTAACCAGTCTCCCCATGTGGGTTCTCGGGGCCCCATTATAGGGAAAACAAGAATAGACCAACTGCCTTTCCAGCAAGCATGTCGTAGGAGTCGACTAACTGGGGACTCCCTTCAAAGTTTGAGTGTGTCTGCCCGGGAAGCAAGGAACAACCAACGGCACACAAATAAGCCAGTAAAACAGATATACACGCAAAACTCAGGCACTGGCTCCAAATGGGCGAACTACCAGGCCTTTCCGCCGGAGCTTACAGCCAGTGAACACAGGAGAAAAAAGGAGGAGGAGGTAACCAGTCAGTCTGGATAACAAAACACCATTTAAATAAATAACAAAATTTGAACTTGAAACCGATTAAACCTCTGCAGCTAAATGTGATGATAACTAGAAAGCATTCTTACATATCAGTGAAGACTGAATGTGTGAATCTGCTTCCAGGATAGTTATCACTACCAACAGTGAACATGTGAATCTGCTACCACGATAGTTAACACTACCAACAGAGACAGTGAACAAGTGAATCTGCTTCCAGGATAGTTATCACTAACAACAGAGACAGTGAACAAGTGAATCTGCTTCCAGGATAGTTATCACTACCAACAGAGACAGTGACCATGTGAATCTGCTTCCAGGATAGTTATCACTACCAACAGAGACAGTGAACACGTGAATCTGCTTCCAGGATAGTTATCGCTACCAACAGAGACAGTGAACATGTGACTCTGCTTCCAGGATAGTTATCACTACCAACAGAGACAGTGAACATGGACTCTGCTTTCAGGATAGTTATTGCCACCAACAGTGAACATGTGACTCTGCTTCCAGGATAGTTATTGCCACCAACAATGAACATGTGACTCTGCTTCCAGGATAATTATTGCCACCAACAATGAACATGTGACTCTGCTTCCAGGATAGTTATTGCCACCAACAATGAACATGTGACTCTGCTTCCAGGATAGTTATTGCACCAACACATGAACATGTGAACTCTGCTTCCAGGATAGTTATTGCCAACAACAATGAACATGTGACTCTGCTTCCAGGATAGTTATTGCCACCAACAATGAACATGTGACTCTGCTTCCAGGATAGTTATTGCCATCAACAATGAACATGTGACTCTGCTTCCAGGATAGTTATTGCCACCAACAATGAACATGTGAATCTGCTTCCAGGATAGTTATTGCCACCAACAATGAACATGTGAATCTGCTTCCAGGATAGTTATCACTACCAACAGAGACAGTGACCATGTGAATCTGCTTTCAGGATAGTTATTGCCACCAACAATGAACATGTGACTCTGCTTCCAGGATAGTTATCACTACCAACAGAGACAGTGACCATGTGAATCTGCTTCCAGGATAGTTATCACTACCAACAGAGACAGTGACCATGTGAATCTGCTTCCAGGATAGTTATCACTACCAACAGAGACAGTGAACATGTGAATCTGCTTCCAGGATAGTTATCACTACCAACAGTGAACATGTGAATCTGCTTCCAGGATAGTTATCACTACCAACAGAGACAGTGAACATGTGAATCTGCTTCCAGGATAGTTATCACTACCAACAGTGAACATGTGAATCTGCTTCCAGGATAGTTATCACTACCAACAGTGAACAAGTGAATCTGCTTCCAGGATAGTTATCACTACCAACAGAGACAGTGACCATGTGAATCTGCTTCCAGGATAGTTATCACTACCAACAGAGACATTGACCATGTGAATCTGCTTCCAGGATAGTTATCACTACCAACAGTGAACACGTGAATCTGCTTCCAGGATAGTTATCACTACCAACAGAGACCATGTGAATCTACTTCCAGGATAGTTATCGCTACCAACAGTGAACATGTGAATCTGCTTCCAGGATAGTTATCACTACCAACAGAGACAGTGAACATGTGACTCTGCTTCCAGGATAGTTATCACTACCAACAGTGAACATGTGAATCTGCTTCCAGGATAGTTATCACTACCAACAGAGACAGTGAACATGTGACTCTGCTTCCAGGATAGTTATCACTACCAACAGAGACAGTGAACATGTGAATCTGCTTCCAGGATAGTTATCGCTACCAACAGTGAACACGTGAATCTGCTTCCAGGATAGTTATCACTACCAACAGAGACAGTGACCATGTGAATCTGCTTCCAGGATAGTTATCACTACCAACAGAGACAGTGACCATGTGAATCTGCTTCCAGGATAGTTATCACTACCAACAGAGACAGTGACCATGTGAATCTGCTTCCAGGATAGTTATCACTACCAACAGAGACAGTGAACATGTGAATCTGCTTCCAGGATAGTTATCACTACCAACAGAGACAGTGAACATGTGAATCTGCTTCCAGGATAGTTATCGCTACCAGAGAAGTAAACATGTGAATCCACTTCCAGGACAGTTACATCAGTCCGGTAACAACACTGATCATCATCAATTTCTATGTCTGTTGTTAAGCGTCATGGGCAGGAACAGTTTGCGATCCATCATTTGATGGGTAGAAATGGCTATTGTCATTCCATGTGGATGTAGAAGCTTTTTGATGTCATCAATCGATCTTCTCCTAGGCCAGCCTCTTGCTTTCATATTAGATTATTTCATGTGCAGCACCTGTGTTGGTAGTTGTTCTGGCTGCATCTTACCAGATGACCAAACCATCTGATCTTCTGTTTGTGAATGAATCTGCTGCACAGTACTGTTCCGACAGTTTGTCTGATAATTAAGTTTCTAACATTGTATCAGATGGTTAAGTTGGCAGCTTTCCTCGGGCATCTCATTTCAAGTAGGTCCAAGTCTGGCACTAAACAATAATCAAATGTATCAATTATTTGTTTACGCGACCAGAAATGCTTACTCGTCTGGGATGTGCCGTCAGTTCCATCCATGTTTTGAAATCTGTACAGGCTTTGCAATGAGGCATGGGTTTCTTGCCATCACCCTCACCCGATTCGTCAGCTGGAAGTCCTTTCTTGAAATCATCTGGTCTGGGTATTGTATCAAAAGGCATTGCCATCTTGTCGAGAAATGAGTAAGGATCATACTGTGGAGAAACACAAGTTCAACAGTTACCCAGTCTAACAGTAATATTTTAAGGTGAGGTTTAGATTTGTTTAATAACTGATCTTGGCTCCCAGGATCATCCTGCCTGAAAGATATGTCCTGGGAAGTAAAGGTGGCCAGTATGATGTTAACCATCTCACCAACTGAGTGCTACGAATCACAAACCTTTTCTGTATTTTGTGTGTTCTTTTTAAATGAATTGTTAACTCCTCCCAAACCTTGACCAACACACGGGTTAAATTTTCAAATGCCATTATGACTACAAAGTGTAATTTAACAGTCACGCTGGTTATTGTGTGTTTATTTTATTTACTGTGACAATCAGTAAAAATAAACTTTGCTGAATATTTTCCCACTTACATCCCTTAGAATTTTTTTTTTAAATTACAGTTAATTTTTACCTACCTTGAAAGGTGGACTGTAAGACAGGGGCGTTAGAGAAGATTCTTGCTTCATCGGTCAGATTTGGGGACCACCAACATTCAAAATTTGGCTATCCTCCGAATAACGGTCCTAAATTTTCGAGGCTAAGAAAGTAGCCTAACAAGGCCTCAGTTATATGTAAATTGCAGACCTCTTTCCGTCAACTATACCGTATAAAAGCTTCCGCTGAGTTAAAGTCATCGCCGAGAGTTCCCCCCTTGCCGCTACGCGCAGAGGGGGCTAAACTAGATGGCTGGGACTCACAAGCAGCAGCTACCGCATCTCCTGCAGCTTCCTCCATTTTATTTGCTTTGAGTCCCAGCCATCTATCTAGTTTAGCACGGGATACTCTCGGCGGTGGCGGTATAGTCGCTGGAAAGAGGTCCGCAATTTACATATGACTGAGGCCCTGTTAGGATATTTCTTTAGCCTCGATAATTTGGGACCATTACTTGGAGGATAGCACAAAATTTTAACATTGAGTCACTGCCCCAACACTGAAAAAGGCGCTAATGTTGTGGTAGCACTAACTATGGGGGTTATAGGAAGGGGGTGGGGGGTTAAAAGTCGAATTGTATCCTGCCTTAGAGGCAAGGAACCAAATGTTTGCATACAAATAAACCAGATCTCGTGGATGTGCATGTAAAACACAAGTTCTGGCCAAAATTCCAGAAGTGGATGAACAACCATGATGTGCTGCTGTAGTTCACAGCTGGTAGACACAAAGAAGAAGAAATAGTTTATGTGTAGAACAGAACCACATGCACTAAAAACTGTTTCATTTCCATTTTTTTTAGAAATGTTTGAATCCATATCAATGTCCTCCCCAAGGAAGAATGTTTAGCACATATTTTGATAAGAATTCAGCTGACAATGAAATTTTGAAACATGTAGATATTTAAACACACAGGCAAAGCTAAGAGAACTTCTTCTTCTTCATGTTCACTCTGGCCTAAAGTTCTAGTTGTTCAACCACCTCAGGAGTTTGGACTTGTTCCAGAACCTAAGTTTATTTTCTCCAGATCTGAATCATTTGTATGATTACTGTTGGTTCCTTGCCTCTCAAGTAGATGCACTCCAAATTCGCAGAAAACCCCTAATTAGTCTACTCTTATGACATGCTTGTTGGAGAGGCAGTGGGTCTATTTTTGCCCCAGAACCCACACAGGGATAACTGAGATAACTAACACTGTCAGAGATATAAACGAAGGAGACTCAGTTATGTGCACACCATACTTTTTGTTTCTTCTTAGGCATTCAGAGCTCTTGAGGTTCACAGCTGTAGATATCATCTGCTACAGTTACCTCTGTGAGTGGCCTTCTCCTTCTAGTTGGTAGTTAATTAAAGAGTTTGTATGTTTGCCCATATGTCAGCTCACCACTTCTTGGTCTGAACAAAGTCAGCTCTTTCTTGCAGTTTTGATTCCTCTGTTTCATCTGCCATTCTCTCTACATACCCAAATGACCTCAGTCTACTGTTAGCTCTCATAGTAAAAGTAAAGGTCCCTTTTCCATGCCTTTGGGCGTATAGGGCATATAGACTTAGACCTAAATTTTGGCTATCCTCCGAATAACGGTCCTAAATTATTGAGGCAAAAAATATACCATAACACGGCCTCAGTCACATGTAAATTGCAGACCTCCTTCCTGCGACTATACCGCCACCGCCGAGAGTATCTCCTCGCCACACGCGCGGAGCATGGCTAAACTAGATGGCTGAGACTCATGAGCAAATAAAATGAAGGAAGCTGCAGGAGATGCGGTAGCTGATGCATGTGAGCCTCAGCTGTCTAGTTGAGCTCCGCCTGCGACGCGCGTAGTGGCGCTGGGAAACTTACGGCAGTTACTTCAAACTTTTCCGCGGTATGCTGCATAGTCGCCAGAAAGAGTTCTGCAATTTACATGTGACTGAGGCCCTGTTAGGGTATATTTTCGGCCTAGATAATTTGGGACTGTTATTCGGAGGATAGCCTACATTTTTATAGACCAATCGGCACAAGATGGGTGATGTGGTCAGCATCACACTGGCTGCCTTTACTTCCCGGAATTGAACCCGGTACCCACTCAAGGCTTAATCGACCTGGGAGTCAGGGTCCTTTTTGAAAAAAGTCTGACCCAACAGGGAGTGAACCCACAACCTTTCGATCTGCATGCGAGCGTCTAGCAGCTACGCTCGGTGACTCCCACTATTAGCTCTCACGATGCCAGTATATAGTCATGAACTTTTAAGAGTTCAGAAAATGGATGAAACTTACAAGGTCAAGTAAGGCAGCAGAGCTAATCAGCTAAGTTTACTTAAAGGCTAAAATGTTGAAATTGTCAACTGGCATGGGACAGAGGCCTGAGCCTCAGCACAGAAAGATTACTAACAACAATACAGTTAACAGTGATCTGCAGGCCACTTGCTAGGCCTCTACAGGCCATTTGCTAGGCCTCTGCAGGCCACTTGCTAGGCCTCTGAGGGCCACTTGCTAGACCTCTGCAGGCTACTTGCTAGGCCTCTGCAGGCCACTTGCTAGGCCTCATTGAAGCTTGCTGATATACTTTTAGTTCAGTTTTATATCTTTTCTGGGCTATCCTAAGAATAACGGCCACATATTATGATGGCCAAAATTCACCCTGACAGGGCCTTAATCACATGTAAATTGCAGACTTCTTTCCGGTGAACAAACCACTGCAAAAGTAGGATAAATTTCCGGGGTTGATGTCAAATGCCAAAACGTAACGGAAAAGTCACATGGGGGGGGGCTAAACTTATTTACTGGGACTCAGTTAAAAAAAGCTTTCGCAGCTATCCTCTGAATCTCGTGCACTCACATCCTACAATATTTTTTTTTAATTTGCTCATGAGTACCCAGGTGCCATCCTTATTTTATTTGCTCATAAGCTCCCATCTAGTAGCCCACCTGCAGCGGGCGCGGGGGATACTCTCTGTGGTGGCGGTATGTTTACTGGAAAGAAGTCCGCAATTTACACGTGAGTGACGCCCCGTTTGGCTATCTTCTTGGCTGGCATAATTTGGGACCGTTATTCGGAGGATAGCCGAAATGGCAGGCAGTCCATTTTTTTCGTTCCTTATTATTTTCGAGTTCCAAGTTTTTGAATGTTTACAACACATAACGCCATAATACGTGGTCGTTATTCCGGAGGATAGCCCTTTTCACAGCAGCACTTAGAGAAGCAAGAGTCATTTATATCAAGTGTCTGAGATACTTCAGTGTATGCAAGGCCAGCATGAGGGGGGGGGGGGGGGTATTCGGTTCACACGGACGACTCCCTTCCCTACTGTTTACAAGCAAGTCAGTCTAGTACTAGGAGTTGCAAAAAGTGACAACTTACAGGCTGCTGAAATCGCATGTATGCATGAAAGGTACATATATCATAGTACTACAAGATAACGTTACGTGCGAACCAGCTTTTTAAGGACGAAAGCAGATAATTATAATGTCACTAATCCTTTTTTCTTCTGAGTTGTACAAGGCCCAAGGGCGAACTACTCGAATCTACGAGGCGCTGTTGACAACAGACAAAACTCAAAACAGAATGATCATGGAACCGGCATTATTTCCCAGAGGGTATTTCATTAAATAAGCACTCGTAAAAAAGCGTTCATCATTTACCCTTTGTGAGCGTTTCTGGAACTCCCTTTCTTTAATTTCAGCAACTTCGCCGGCGACTTTATTCAGCCATCCCGGCTCCGTAGCTAGTTCCTTCGGTGTCGGCCCACCCCATGCTTCTTTCTCCGACTCCACATCGATCTTAGGTTTCTGCTTCGGCGGCATCAAGGGAGCGTTTCCTCGGATACTATTAAAGTTATGTCAAAAGTCGAGACTTTTATAATGCTAGAAATAAACCTCTAATCGTTCCTGATATAAATATTATAGGCATTTCTTGTCAAGGTCGATGAAACAAGACTTTTCTTGTCGTCCATTTACCATTTGTTTCTAGTCGTCTGTTGGTTTTCTAAAAATGTGCACGCCGGATAAAATTTGACGAAAATAGCAACTTTTAAATTTAATTATCGTACTCAGAAATGTAAATTTTGTGTGGGAAATCCTAGAACCGTTTGAATAGCATGAGAAATAAATTAACACTGGCACTCATCTATAGATAAGCATAAAACACGAGCAGAACTAAGAGATCTCTAGAATATATTACAAATGCACAGCGACACTGCCGTTCCGATGATGAAAAATATCTTATGCAAGAAGTCACTTTATTGCGTCTGCTGCGTCTATGCACAGACGCAGTTGCGTGGGGGAAAAAGGGGGTGGGGTCGCCAAGGGGTCAGTGCTGATATTATCATATACGATAATAACTAGACAGGGAAAGGATATAAACTCCGGCCACATACAAGTCGATAATAAAAAATCAAAAGAACGGAAACATACAAGTACTTAGGTGTCAACTTCAACTGCTCCAACAAGCTGAGAGAAGAAAAACCATATATAATTCAATCTGGATATAAAGTATACTATGCTCTTCAACATCTGCCAAAGTCAAAGTGTCTGACTCGCAACATCAAGATCAAAATATATAAAACGTTGATTAGACCAGTCGTGTTATATGGCACTGAAACTTGGAGCACAACTAAAAGAGATGAAGCCTTGTTACAGGTTTTCGAAACCAGAGTTTTACGACGAATCTTTGGATCCATCAAAGATGCAAACAGAGGTGAATGGAGAGTGAGAAGCAACAACGAAATTCATAATCTGTTTAAATCACCACTGATAACTAGCATCATGAGAGCTAATAGACTGAAATGGTTGGGGCATATTGAAAGAAAGTCAGATGACAGAGAAGTAAAAACTTAATACACGAGGGAGATGAATGTCGTATATATATATATATATATATATATATATATATATAATATATATATATATATATATATATATGTATATATATAAATATATAGGCCTATGTATTTATGTGTGTGTGTGTGTGTGTGTGTGTGTTAAACCAGCCTGGGCGGCGACCGAGTGACAAACTGCTTGAGGTTCGAGTTGGCGCTAGGGGGTAGCCAGAAAAGCCACATATTTCCCAGATTTACAGTATCTATTCATGGAATCAAGGTCGAAGGGTTGCGATATCCACAGCACTGAGCCAAAAGGTTTACAATTTATGGTTTCTGGATATATATATATATATATATATATATATATATATATATATATATATATATATATATATATATATATATATATATATATATACTGGAAAGGCTAACCGGTCAACAAATGCCCGCAGAAAGTCGGATGTGTTGGCCTAAAGGGGCAAATATCGCAGCCATGCTGCAAACAGACACAACGCAATTACATCTTCGGATGAACACAGAAAAGAAGAAGATATGTGTTGTGTGTGTGTGTGTGTGTGTGTTCGTATGGGGGGGGGGAGACCGAAAATGTTCCTCATCGGTACCGATTACCTTACTACGCCACTGCGCACAGAGGCTCGTGAACGCGTTTCACAAGCTTTTTAA